GGGGGGGGGGCAGGACTTCAAGAGGCCGTCTTGGCAGAGCTAGTAACATCTATGTCATTCTTCACAGCTGTACCTGTTACTAAAGCCTTTCAGTGATAGACTCCACAGCCCCCATGCAGTCTAACGCAGCACACGTCCTGCTGGAGTCACTGCTACATTTTGACCCAAACCTTTCTTAAGGATATTTCAGTTTACAAAATAAGTTTATAAAACAGAGAAACTGTGAAATCACACGCTATAAGCTGCAGAACAGTCCATCACATTTCATAAGAAATGTGGAAATTTAGCACAACACTAAGTTAAGAGTATGCCAAAAGAACAGAAACCAAAAATTTCACCATTGGCTTATCCCTGTAACATAATACAGCTTCAACATGCATGTGCAAATGCTTAAAATTATATTTCTGCCTTGTAAAAAAAAAAAAAAAGCATCAAGCCTGAAACAAAATTTTGCTGCTTCTACCTACAGCACACATTAAGATCTCAAGGTCTGATTTCTATTCCAAATTCTTTGTAGTACAAGCAATTGTTTCACTGTCCAAAATTGAGGTGACTGATGATGGCATCCTGGTCATCAATTGATGGAGGGTGCAAATGCAGCTTTCTCTTCCTAAACTAGTCAAGGAACCCATCCCAAAAGGATTCTGAACATGGGGCCATGCTCTTACAGTTAGCTTGCCACTGCTGCACCTGGAATATATTGGGGTACGCTACTTGGTGACAATGGGAGTAAAATACTTGTGTTCGGAGGCCCAAAGCAAGTTGTGTCTCTGAATAGCCGCAGTGTTCAGATCAGAATCACTGTCCACCTCTGTGGATCTGGAAAAACACTTTCCTAAGCTACCACTGGACAGAAAGACGTGGCTTTGCATACTGCAGCTCCCAACTGCGTGGCTCACATTCAGAATTGTACAAAAACCCACACCCACATGTACATACATAAAAGACAAGCCCTGCCCTCAAAGCACTTACAATTTAAACCAACAAAATGAACACTGCTTTTTACACTAACTGCCACATATGTCCCATCCTAAACAGGACAAACTGTGTTTTGGAGGAGTCTCTCTTACAGGCTCCCTGCCCACACGGCAGAGAGCATCCCTCTGGTCAGACCACAGCTGTAGGTGCTGGGGCTGCTGGAGAGGGGAGCAGCCAGGAGAGTCAGCAGGAGCAGCAACCTGCCCCACTGCCCAGCCTCCTGTGCCTGGCTCAGGAAAGCCAACGGTATTGGCAAGAAAGAGGGGAAGGCAGAGACTTGTCTGCAGCAGTGGCAGAAACTGAAGGGGTACATAGTATCTGAAAACATCCCAAAGGGGTCTTGGGACAATTATTTTAGATTATTTCTACAACAGAGGCTTTTCAGATAAGTCAAAGTTATAAATAAAGGTAAATCAAACTTTCTCCTCTGTGTATCTTTGTGCTGCTGTTCAGCTGGGTAGCAGTATATATCCAAAGAAACAATTATGCTCCTTATGAGTGAGGTGGGGAACAAATATGGGGACTGTTGAACACTTGCTGACAAGCCAGTGTTGGCAACAGCTGCGAGAGCCTTGGGCAGCAGGAAGACACAACACACATGTACTGGGTTACATTTTTCCTGATACAGCAGGAAGACAGAAAATATAAAAGGCATCAGGGTCTATGGTACGAGTTGAAATCCCTTTGGATACATCACATTAATATGATCATGAAGGCAATGTGCGATCAGTCAAAGTTTAACTAACTTCTTGTCAAGCAGGCTGCTGGCCCCCAGAGGTTTCCTGATCCTTCTATCCAAAGACTGGAAGTTACTCATAGTTCCCTTGCTCTATCAAGGTGATGTTTTCAGAAATAAGCAGGCAGCCACCTGTCTCCAGAGAATAAGGACTCGAAAGGCCATAGACCACAGCATCCTCCATAAGCAGAGAAATCCTCCTCAGTGGCCCACTACATGCACAACAGGGCCATTGCCCACAAACAGCTTCCAGGAGCAGCACATGTTGCCCAGGGGACTCTCACTGGTATTTCTGTGCCCTACCTTCACAACATGTTTCTGAGTCCATGACGCTGCCTTCCACTGCAGGAGAATCAGGCAGTCCGC